GGTGGTCAGTAAGCAATATTAAAATTTCCCAGAATCCTGAGATGGAGACACAATCCTGGGCTGCCAGCAGTCGCTGTTCCAGACTTATCCCTAAAATGGGGAAATGGGCTCTGGCCCAAAAAGCTATGAAGGGGAAGGACCGATGGCAGTCAGGAATCATGTTCACAAATGGGTTTACTAGCCCTTCCTTTTCCACAGCTTTAGACCTTAAAGCAGCCATTGAAATGGAAATATTGACATGATAGCTAGTTAGTCCAGTGGAAAAAATGACTGAGCAAATTAAGAACAACTCAGATCTCACCAACGAATCAGACGACAACAGAGAAATAAAGGATACCGCATTACATTGGACTGTCATGTTTCCTTCAGCTCTTCTTGACTCACTCACATTCTTGAGAGATCTTGAGAGATCAAGAAAGTATTACTAAAAACTGTAAGTCTGAAGAAGGGTGGGCTAACATTTTTACAAAACAGCTGAAGAAAATGAGAAACTGATATACAGAGGAGCTCAGTAACTTGCCCTTGCACATCACTGACCTGAATTCGGTGTCAAGCAATACAATTTTCCGTTCACTTAAATTTTGTTCCTTTTATTCTTCCTTCTTTGAACCTATTGACTACTTGTTCATTGCCTTTTTTTTTTTTTAAAGAATGACTAGAAGAACCAATCATAGAATTTTGTGAATATGGAGAAGACAGGCACAAAGACATTGGACATACACTGGAGTGTATAGATTGTACACTGGATGTACACTGGACTATACTTAATATACATTATACACTGGACAGACACTGGACTGTACACTAGGTGTACACTGGATGTTCACTGAGTTGTACACTATACACTAGACATACACTGGTGTATACTGGACATACACTGGACTGTACATTGCACAGCGGGATGTGTCCTTGGACTGTACACCAAGTGTACACTGGGCTGTACACCAGATGTGTCCAGATGTGCATTTGAACTGTGCACCAGATGTGTCCAGCTGTGTCCCAGCTGTGTTCCAGATGTAGCCAGCTGTGTTCCAGATGTGCACTTGGGCTATGTGCCAGATGTGTCCAGCTGTGTTCCAGCTGTAGTCCAGATGTGTCCAGCTGTGTTCCAGATGTAGCCAGCTGTGTTCCAGATGTGCACTTGGGCTATGTGCCAGATGTGTCCAGCTGTGTTCCAGCTGTAGTCCAGATGTGTCCAGCTGTGTTCCAGATGTGCATTTGGGCTGTATGCCAATTGTGTCCAGATGTGGCCAGCTGTGCTCCAACTATGCATCAGATGTGCCCTAGATGTGTGCTGGACTGTACACTACTGTACACTGGACTGTACACCACTGTACACAGTACACTGGATTGTACATACTGTATGTACACTGGACATACATTGGATGTACACTGGACTGTGCACTACTGTACACTGGACTGTGAAAAAATTTAAACAAGTACCAGCATGATGTTTCCGGTACATCATGGACACACATCCTTTGAACACATATATGCAAAGTGGCCAGCTCTAATGATGTCAAGATTTAGTTTCTTCGGATTTTTCCTTGAGGTCTAGACAAGATGCCAAAAAAGTTTAAAGATCAACTTGCTTACATTTTATTACAACCAAAGAGTGATTGATTCTAAAGCATATAATGTATAGCTCAAAAACAAAAAATAAAACCCCCACAACTGAACTTAGAATAGATGTACTTTTTTTACCCATGATTTATGTTTTCCAAGGAGAAAATTTGGTGATAAACATTTGTAAATGTTTATGTTCTCAGAGTTCTGGGAACATTAAAAAATAAAATTTCCCTTTCCCATGTATTAAAATGGTAATATCCTCTAACATGGATGAATATTACATAAATTATTCTGTACAAAAGTGTGGAGCCATTTAGTGTCAGAGTAAGTTATCTTCCCTTATTCAGTCGCCCCTGAGGACATCATCAATGTAGAGATTGTCCAGTCATGACCTTCAGTCAAAGAAGAGGCCAGATTATGTTGCACAGTATCTGGCACAGATACTTCTTGAGAAGGGGTATTTTTCTAAGATGTGTTTTAAGATATCAAAAAGAATAAATTTAAAAATGGAAGAGTTTTTATATTGGAAGGGGGTAAACTTTGCAATAGCTAGACAACCTTTCTCAACAAATTCCACTGGGCACTTCCTGTGTGCCTCTACAGTCTGAGTCTATGAAGGAAACAAGGCAGTCTTTGCTGTCAAGGAGCCAAGGGTCTAAATTAACAGGCACTGAAAATGGGAGGGAAGCGTAGGCTTCCATGAGAGCTCAGAGGAGGAGGTGCAACGGTTTACTGACCTCTGGGCAGTGAAGACTTTTTTGCAAAGACACTGCTTTAAAGGGTGGGCATGCTTTCTTCTGTCTTATATCATGCTGGCTAAGCAGGGGTTCCTGGTGAGACACATAGAATCCAATGACAGGCTATAGATAAGAACCCCAGAGGGACAATCAACCCCATCAGGAGCCTCACTGACAGTTACTGTATCACCCCTTGTGTTGCTAATGCCTCAGCTTAGCACCCAAACCTACTGGAAGTCCTCAGGGTAGGAGGATCCCATGTCATGCAAGGCAGAGGCAGCCCTAGAAGAGGAGGGACCAAGAATGTAGACTCAAGGTTGGGCCACCTGAGCTTGAATCTCAACCCCACAGCTGTATGACCTTGAATAAGTAACTTAAACCTTGAGCTTAAAAAAAAAAAATCTTTAGAGAGGGTAAAGCATCATTTCATAAGCTGTTAGAAGGATTCAGTGAGATAATCAAGTATAAAATGCTTAGAAGAGTGCCTTAAGTAACTCAAAAGTGAACTATTGTCATCATTTTCTCAGGAAAATAAAACCAGTCTTAGAAATCCAGATTATGTAAATGTAAGACCAGAAACTATAAAACTCCTAGAGGAGAACATAGGCAAAACACTCTCCGACATAAATCACAGCAGGATCCTCTATGACCCACATCCCAGAATTTTAGAAATAAAAGCAAAAATAAACAAATGGGACCTAATGAAACTTAAAAGCTTTTGCACAACAAAGGAAACTATAAGCAAGGTGAAAAGACAGCCCTCAGATTGGGAGAAAATAATAGCAAACGAAGCAACAGACAAAGGATTAATCTCAAAAATATACAAGCAACTCCTCCAGCTCAACTCCAGAAAAATAAATGACCCAATCAAAATATGGGCCAAAGAACTGAACAGACATTTCTCCAAGGAAGACATACAGATGGCTAACAAACACATGAAAAGATGCTCAACATCACTCATTATCAGAGAAATGCAAATCAAAACCACAATGAGGTACCATTACACGCCAGTCAGGATGGCTGCTATCCAAAAGTCTACAAGCAATAAATGCTGGAGAGGGTGTGGAGAAAAGGGAACCCTCTTACACTGTTGGTGGGAATGCAAATTAGTACAGCCACTATGGAAAACAGTGTGGAGATTTCTTAAAAAGCTGGAAATAGAACTGCCATATGACCCAGCAATCCCACTTCTGGGCATACACACCGAGGAAACCAGATCTGAAAGAGACACGTGCACCCCAATGTTCATCGCAGCACTGTTTATAATAGCCAGGACATGGAAGCAACCTAGATGCCCATCAGCAGACGAATGGATGAGGAAGCTGTGGTACATATACACCATGGAATATTACTCAGCCATTAAAAAGAATTCATTTGAATCAGTTCTAATGAGATGGATGAAACTGGAGCCCATTATACAGAGCGAAGTAAGCCAGAAAGATAAAGACCATTACAGTATGCTAACACATATATATGGAATTTAGAAAGATGGTAACGATAACCCTATATGCAAAACAGAAAAAGAGACTCCGATGTATAGAACAGACTTGTGGACTCTGGGAGAAGGCGAGGGTGGGATGTTTCAAGAGAACAGCATCGAAACACGTATATTATCTAGGGTGAAACAGATCACCAGCCCAGGTTGGGTGCATGAGACAAGTGCTCGGGCCTGGTTCACTGGGAAGACCCAGAGGGATCAGGTGGAGAGGGAGGTGGGAGGGGGGACCGGGATGGGGAATACATGTAAATCCATGGCTAATTCATTTCAATGTATGACAAAAACCACTGCAATGATGTAAAGTAATTAGCCTCCAACTAATAAAAAAAAAAAAAAAAGAAATCCAGATTATGGAATAATTTGAAATGGCCTGGTGGTTTTGATTCTGAAAGAAAGAGGAGTTTTAGATGTGGGGCATATCTTCTCTGGGGCTTGTCTGCAGTAGACTTAATATCCCCAGTGTTAAGCCAAGTGTCATTATTTGAGTACATATAATTTCTATTGTAGAAACAATTATTTAAGAAAACTAGCCCTCCCCCCCACCCCTGGGAAATAAGAAAGAAATGATTGTCTGAGTCAATTTGGATTCCATATCATGTATCTCTTGAGGGGATTGCCGAAAAGAAAAATGGAGAACAAACACAGGCATCTGGCTTGTTTTCCCATTAATGTTCAGACTTTTGGATTGAACAGTCCTTTGAGATATAATCACTGCTTCTGGATTGTGCCACCTAGTTTCATTTCACTGCCATCCTTTTTACAATAGGTTCTTTTGTTTTTTCAAATAATTTTTCCTCAATAGAAAAGCATAATTTGCAGTATTATCCATTAGTCTTCTTACTCACCATGTCTGTACTCCTCCTTTCAGGTATCCCTTGTTTTAAGCAAGTCTGATAAATTCCTATTTATGAATTTCTAATATCTTTGTATTAGATGAAAACTCCTATTTACATCACAGATAAATTAGCATTGGGGATTTGTTCCCGTTAGAACACATTTTCTTCAAATGCTGACTTCCATTTTAGTGCATTTTAAATTGTTTCATTTAAAAACCAACCACCACCACATATTCTGGTAGAAGGCTACTGAGGATATACCTGGGGAGGGGGTGGGCCCTGGGGCTCCCTTTGGAACAGAAAGCTGGGAAGCCAACAGGGCAGGAGAGAGCAGGCTGAGACATGTCCTTTCCATCGCAGGGTTTGACACCAGCATCCTGCCCATCTGCAAGGACTCCCTGGGCTGGATGTTCAACAAGTTGGATATGAACTATGACCTCCTGCTTGACCACTCAGAGATCAACGCCATCTACCTGGATAAGTACGAGCCCTGTATCAAGCCTCTCTTCAATTCTTGTGACTCCTTCAAGGATGGCAAGCTGTCTAACAATGAGTGGTGCTACTGCTTCCAGAAGCCTGGAGGTAAGGCAGGAGGGAAGTGGGGTCCAGTGGCCAGGGTCACCATGCTGGGTAGGGAAGGGCCATCTATCATGCACTGGGGCAGAAAAACACAGCTAGAGAATAACACATTCCTCCATCTGATGGCATGCTAAAAGGCTCATTTCTCTTAATTGATCTCCACTTTCAGCATGGTAGAGAAAGCCCCAGAACATAATCAAGGAATGTGTTATTCCAGTCCTCCTTTTAGGAAAATCTTTTAACCTCTGTGCCTCAGTTTTTCCATCTGTAAAGTGGGTGTAGAAGCCTGTTACATAATTTCCAAGGTCAGTGTAAGATTCTTAATGTCTTTATTTTTTATACATTGTCTTCAGATTAGGTTCTTGTGTGTTTGTTTTTAGTAGGGACTCTATACAAAAATATTAGAATTGTTCTAGTCATATGTATTGCAAATAGTTTATTCCCCCCCCCCAATTATGACTTAGTGTGTTTTTTCTAAGAAGAAATTTTAAGTTTTAAGATAGTCAAATTTCTCTGTCTATATTTTGGGAATTCTTAGAACCTATACAGCTTATGTTAAGCTTACATAGGTATTTCCCACTGTGAGATAGTAAAACAATTTCCTTTTGTTTTCTTTAGTCCCTTTGTGGGGTTTTGTTTACTGAAATCTCTTATCCTTTTAGTTTTTGTGTGTGTTTAGTCAAGCAGAGTCCCTGTCCTTGGAGATGTCTCACTACTTGCCCACTTGTCATTTGCTGACTAACCCATCTTTCCCATACTAATTTGAAATGCTTCCTCTATCCTTTATACAACTCCTTTATACAACTCCATTATACAACAATATACAATATATACAACAATATATATATATATTTTATATATGTCTATTTCTGGATGCTCAGCCCTATTAATTGACATGTTTCTCTCCTTCATGAATCACAGCCTTATCATGGCAAAGGCACTTGCATCACTCAATGAAGCCATGAGCCATGCCATGTAGGGCCACCCAAGATGGATGGGTCACAGTGAAGAGTTTTAACAAAACACGGTCCATTGCAGGAAGAAATGACAATCCATTCCAGTATTCTTGCCTAGGAAACCCCGTTGACAGTATGAAAAGGCAAAAAGATATGAGCCCCCCAGGTCAGGAGGTGTCCAATATGCTACTGTGGAAGACTGGAGGGAAATTACTAATAACTCCAGAAAGAATGAAGCAACTGGGCCAAAGCAGAAACAAATGCTGAGTGTGGATGTGTCTGGTGGTAAAAGTAAAGTCTGATGCTGTTAAAAATAATATTGCATAGGAAACTGGAATGTTAGGTCCATGAATCAAGGTAAATTGGAGCTGGCCAAGCAGGAGAGACTGAACATTGACATTTTAGGAACCAGTAAACTAAAATGGACAGGAATGGGCAAATTTAATTAAGATGACCATTGTATCTACTGCTGTGGGCAAGAATCCCTTAGAAGAAATGGAGCAGCCTTCATAGTCAACAAGAGTTCAAAATGCAGTACTTGGATGCAACTTCAAAGGCATCTTTATCCCATTCCAAGGCAAACCATTCAACGTCTCAAAAATCCAAATCTATGCTCAAATTTCTCCAAGCCAGGCTTCAGCAATTTGTGAACCATGAACTTCCAGATGTCCAAGCTGGTTTTAGAAAAGGCAGCGGAACCAAGAATCAAATTGCCAACATCCACTGGATCATCGAAAAAGCAAGAGAGTTCCAGGAAAACATTTATTTCTGCCTTATTGACTATGTCAAAGTCTTTGACTGGGTGGATCACAATAAACTGCAGAAAATTCTGAAAGAGATGGGAATACCAGACCACCTGACCTGCCTCTTGAGAAACCTGTATGCAGGTCAGGAAGCAACGGTTAGAACTAGACATGGAACAACAGACTGGTTCCAAATCGGGAAAGGAGTACATCAAGGCTGTATATTGTCACCCTGCTTATTTAACTTATATGCAGAGTACAAAATGAGAAACGCTGGGCTGGATGAAGCACAAGCTGGAATAAAGACTGCCAGGAAAAATATCAACCTCAGATATGCAGATGACACCATTCTTATGGCAAAAAGTGAAGAAGAACTAAAGAGCCACTTGATAAAAGTGAAAGAGGAGAGTGAAAAAGTTGGCTTAAAGCTCAACATTCAGAAAACTAAGATCATGGCATTGGGTCCCATCACTTCATGGCAAATAGATGGGGAAACAGTGGAAACAGTGGCTGACTTTATTTTTCTGGGCTCCAAAATCATTGCAGATGGTGATTGCAGCCATGAAATTAAAAGATGCTTACTCCTTGGAAGGAAAGCTATGACCAACCTAGACAGCATATTAAAAAGCAGAGTAATTACATGGTCAACAAAGGTTCATCTAGTCAAGGTTAGGTTATGGTTTTTCCAGTGGTCATGTATGGATGTGAGAGTTGGACTATAAAGAAGGCTGAGCGCTGAAGAGTTGATGCTTTTGAACTGTGGTGTCAGAGAAGACTCTTGAGAGTCCCTTGGACTGCGAGGAGATCCAACCAGTCCATCCTAAAGGAGATCAGTCCTGGGTGTTCATTGGAAGGACTGATGTTGAAGCTGAAGCTCCAGTACTTTGGCCACCTGATGCGAAGAGCTGACTCACTGGAAAAGACCCTGATGCTGGGAAAGATTGAGGATAGGAGGAGAAGAGGATGACAGAGGGTTAGATGGCTGGATGGCATCACTGACACAATGGACATGGGTTAGGGTGAACTCTTGGAGTTGGTGATGGACAGGGAGGCCTGGCGTGCTGCGGTTCATGGAGTTGCAAAGAGTCGGACATGACTGAGTGGCTGAACTGGAACTGGATGCTCCAACCCACTGATACCTAAGAAGCTGAAGTTGACCAGTTCTATGAAGACCTACAACATCTTCTACAACTGACACAAAAGAAGATGTCCTTTTCATCATTGGGGATTGCAATGCCAAAGCAGGAAGTCAGCAGATACCCAGAAGAACAGGCAAGTTGGACCTTGGAGTACAAAATTAAGCAGGGCAAAGGCTAACAGAGTTTTGTCAAGAGAATGCACTGGTCATAGCAAACACCCTTTCCCAACAACACAGGAGACAACTCTACACATGGACATTACCAGATGGTCAATAGTGAAAACAGATTGATTATATTCTTTGCAGCTGAAGATGGAGAAGCTCTATACAATCAGCAAAAACAAGATCTGGAGCTGACTGTGGCTCAGATCATCAGCTTCTTATTGAAAAATTCAGGCTTAAATTGAAGAAGGTAGGGAAAACTACTAGGCCATTCAGGTATGATCTAAATCAAATTCCTTATGATTATATAGTGGAGGTGATGAATGGATTCAACAGATTTTATCTGGTAGACAGATTTCCTGAAGAACTATGGACAGAGGTTTGTACCATTGTATAGGAGGCAGTGACCAAAGTCATGTCCAAGAAAAAGAAATGCAAGATGGCAAGGTGGTTGTCTAGGAGACTTTACAGGTAGTTGAGGAAAGAAGAGAAGTGAAAGGCAAGGGAGAAAGGGAAAGATATACCCAATTGAATGTAGAGTTCCAGAGAACAGCAAGGAGAGAGAAAGCGGCCTTCTTAAATGAACAATGCAAAGAAATAGAGGAAAACAATATCATCAGAAAGACTAGAAATCTCTTTAAGAAAACTGGAGATATCAAGGGAACATTTCATGCAAGGATGGGAATCAAAAAGGACAGAAATGGTAAGGACCTAACAGAAGCAGAAGAATTTAAGAAGTGATGAGAAGAATACACAGAAGAACTTGACAAAAAGGTCTTAATGAACCAGATAACCACGATGATGTGGTCAGTCACCTAGAGCTGGATATCCTGGAGTGTGAAGTCAAGTCGGTCTTAGGAAGCATTGCTGCCAGTAAAGCTAGTGGCAGTGATGGAATTCCAGCTGACTGATTTAAAATTCAAAAGTTGACACTGTTAAAGTGCTGTACTCAGCATGTCAGCAAATTTGGAAAACTCAGCAGTGGCCACAGGACTAGAAATGGTCAGTTTTCATTCCAATCCCTAAGAAAGGAACTGCAAAAGAATGATCAATCTACCATATAATTGCACTCATTTCACATGCTAGCAAGATTATGCTCAAAATCCTTTAAGGTAGGCTTCAATAGTATGTAAACTGAGAATTTCCAAATGTACAAACTGGGTTTTGAAGAGGCAGAGGAACCCGAGATTGAACTGCCAACATCTGTTGGATCATGGAGAAAGCAAGGGAGTTCCAGAAAAACATCTACTTCTGCTTCACTACTTTGGGCTTCCCTTGAGGCTCAGCTGGTAAAGAATCTGCCTGCAATGTGGGAGACCTTTGTTCAGTCCCTGGGTTGGGAAGATCCCCTGGAGAAGGGAAAGGCTACCCTTTCAGGTATTCTGGCCTAGAGAATTCCTTGGACTATATAGTCCATGGGGTTGCAAAAAGTCAGGCATGACTGAGAGACTTTCACTTCACTACTTCACTGACTGTGCTAAAGCCTGAGACTGTGTGGATCACAACAAACTGTGGAAAATTCTTAAAGAGGTGCCAGACCACCTTTCCTGTCTCCTGAGAAACCTGTATGTTGGTCAGGAAGCAACAGTTAGAACTGGACATGGAACAATGGACAATTTTTCAAATTTTTTAAAATTGGGAAAGGAGTACAACAAGGCTATATATTGTCACTCTGCTTATTTAACTTATATGCAGCATACATCATGAAAAATGCCAGAGTGGATGAATCACAAACTGGAATCAAGATTGCTAGGAGAAATATCAACCACCTAGATATGCAGATGATACCATTCTGATGGCAGAAAATGTAGAGGAACTATTGATGAGGGTGAAAGAAGACAGTGAAAAAGCTGGCTTGAAACTCAACATTCAAAAAACTAAGATCATGGCATCCACTCCCATTTCTTTGTGACAGAGAGAAGGGGAAAAGTGGAAGCAATAACAGATTTTACTTTCTTGGGCTCCAGAGTTACTGTAGACAATGACTACAGTCATGAAATTAAAAGATGCTTGTTCCTTGGAAGAAAAGCTACCGCAAACCTCGACAGCATACTAAAAAGCAAAGACATCACTTTTCCAACCAAGGTCCGTGTAGTCCAAGCCATAGCTTTTCTAGTGGTCATATACAGATGTGAGAGTTGGACCATTTAGAAGGCTGTTGTTTTTCAGTCAGTAAGTTGTGTCCAACTCTTTGCAACGCCATGGACTGCAGCATGCCAGGCCTCCTTGTCCTTCACCATCTCCCAGAGTTTGCCCAAACTCATGTCCATTGAGTTGATGAGGCGATCCAACCATCTCATCCTCTGTTGCCCCCTTCTCCTCCTGCCCTCAATATTTCCCAGCTCAGGACCTTTTCCAGTGAGTCAGTCCTTCACATCAGATGGCTCAAGTATTGCAGCTTCATCTTCAGCATCAGTCCTTCCAGTGAATATTCAGGGTTGATTTCCTTAGGGATTGACTAGTTTGACCTCCTTGCTGTTCAAGGGACTCTCAAGAGTCTTTTTCAGTACCACAATTCGAAAGCATCAATTTTTTGGCCTTCTTTATGGTTCAACTCTCACATCCATACATGACTACTGAAAAAACCATAACTTTGACTTACAGATCTTGGTTGGCAAAGTGATATCTCTGCTTTTTAATATGCTGTCTAGGTTTGTCATAGCTTTTCCCCCTAGGAGCAAACATCTTTTAATTTCATGGCTGGAGTCACCATCTGCAGGGATTTTGGAGCCCAAGAAAATAAAATCTGTCACTGTTTCTACATTTTCCCCATCTATTTTCCAAGAAGTTATGGGAGTGGATGCTATGATCTTAGTTTTTGAATGCTGAGTTTCAAGCCAGTTTTTTCACACTCCTCTTTCACCCTCATCAAGAAGCTCTTTAGTTCCTCTTTGATTTCTGCCATTAGAAAAGAAGTCTGAGGGCCGAAGAATTGATGCTTTCAAATTGTGGTGCTTCAGAAGGCTCTTGAGAGTCCCTTGGAAAGCAAGGAGATCAAACCAGTCAATCCTAAAGGAAATCAACACTGAATATTCATTAGAAGGACTGATGTTGAAGCTAAAGCTCTAATACTTTGGCCACCTGATGCAAAGAGCTGACTCATTGGAAAAGATACTGATGCTGGGAAAGATTGATGGCAAAAGGAGTAGGGGGCAGCAGATGATATAGTTAGATAGCATCAATGACTCAATGGATATGAATGAACAAACTCAGGGAGATAGTGAAGGACAGGGAAGCCTGGTGCATTACCATCCATGGGACCGCAAAGAGTTGGACTTAGTGACTAGACAACAACAACCACAGCCTCCTACCATTAATCTTTTTATCAGAATTTTCCTGAATATTCTTGTTTTTATGTTTATTGTTGTATGTCCTGTAGGTTTGAACTCTTTGAATTTTATAATCAGTTTATTCTGTTTAAAAATCTTACTGGTATTTCTTTAGAATCAGACAAAATTAGAGAGAGTTGAGAGCTATATAATATTGACTCCTTTTATCCTAGAACACTTTGTCTGTTAACCAGTGGAGCTATAAGTTTTATTCCCACAGATATACCTCCCTTGTGCTTATTATTGTTGCCAGTGTAAACAAAATCCATTTTCCTCATTTTATTTATGATACTTATTCTGGTTGGCTTCCTTGAATTTTTCAGGTGTGCAGTCATATTATCTGGAAAGAGTGATAATTTTTTCTCTTTTCAATTTTTATACCTCATTTATTTCTCTTTTCTAATCATATCAGCTAGCCCTTCCAAATCGATGTTAATAACAGCCATGATTTTTACTTCAATAGGAATGCTTGTAGTGGTTCATCATTAACCGTAATGATAGTTTTGGGCTTGAGTTCATAGAAAATCATGTGGTTTTAGCCCCAGAGTCCAGGTGGGGGCTGAGTGAAGCAATGTCTTGGATCTAATGATCATCTGGGGGTATAATGCCAGGCCCCTAGAATGAGGTGACTGCCTTAACCAGAGGTATGCAAGTGCCCTGAGAATCAGAATGTTGTGGTCTTTGTGGGAAGACTGTGAGCAAATAGCAGAGCCTCCCAGGGCCATAGCATCTGCAATGGCAGGTCATGGTAAAATTTAAGATTAGTGAGATCCCCCTTCTTTTTGCTTGGAGTGGAAGTCAAAAGGGTACCACACACTTCCATGTGCCCTCTTTAGCCATGTGGCTCCCACTCTATCAGCCCTGCACTTGAGTTTGTTTGTAACGGCATTTGTTTTTTAAATGAAGACTTGGAGGCTGAGCATTATAAAGAGACTGGTCCAAAGTATTAATACTTAGCTAGGAGGTGGCAGAATCCAGAGTTAAGGTGTTACTCTTCTATACTCACTGCTTCTCTATATCTCTTCTGTACCTTCAGAGTTGTCCTTAGAGACCTATGTTTGACTTTCCTGGGTAGTGAGTCATGAAGTCAGAAGTAGCCATTGTAATCCTATTTCTATCCTGCAACAAGACGTGGGGTAGATAAAGTTTTTGTCCCAGTCTGTGGATTCAGCACATGTACCCACTAATAACCTTTCATCCTGGTTCTCAGCTCATATAATCTTGGCTGACAGGAGACTTTTTCTTATATGTTCAGTCGCTCGGTCGTGTCCAATTCTTTGCAACCCCATGGACTGTAGCCAGCTAGGCTCCTCTGTCCATGAAATTTTCTAGGCAAGAATACTGGAGTGGGTTGCCATTTCCTACTCCAGAGGATCTTCCTGACCCAGGGAGTAAACCTGAGTGGTCTCTTGTGTCTCCTGTATTGGTACACAGATTCTTTACCACCATACCACCTGAGGTGGTAAATATGAGGAAGTAAATAATGAAATCACCCTACTAGACAGTTGATATCTGCTTAAACTGGTGGTGAGAAGAAAGATTCCTATACATGCAAATAGCCCCCAAATACTATTTTAAGTACCTAGTGGTATAGGATGTTTTTTTTTAAAATTAGTAACACTAATGGCCTGAATTTGTTTTGCTGCAAAGTAACAGCAGATGGAGTAATTCCACTCCCAGGTGTGTCATTGTCTACATTTCACGTCAAGAGTGAAACCAATCATTAGAGATTATATCCCTTACCATCTGGAAACTGACTTTCATAAATTATTTTTTAGGTTTCCCTTGCCAGAATGAAATGAACAGGATCCAGAAGTTGAGCAAGGGGAAAAGCCTGTTGGGTAAGTACCATTTCTTGCTACTCATTTAAACAACTAATTAAACCATCCGTGTCTTGTGTAATATCTAGCACAGCAACGGTTATTCAATTAGGGACCAGTGCTTTGTGAAAGAAATGCCTCATTTTACCCAAGACAAGGTTCTTCTAGGAAGCTGGTAATATGCCACAGGGCATACTCTTGAGGATCAGAGAGCTGGCTGAGAAATGCTACATGCTCCATCAGTTGGAAGAGAGATCAAAGGTGAGCCCAGGACCAGTAGGCAGGTCACCAGAGCTGAAATTGAGCACCATCTTTACTGCTAACTCATCCCTGATCTTGGATTTTTTTTTTTTAAGTATGGCCATTAAATGCAGCACTCAAGTGTTCCAAGTTAAAATGATAAAATCTATAAATTATAGAATTTCCTATATTCCCCAGATCAAGGTGTCCATTCAAGGAGGAAGACGAGCTGATTCCCTTCTAAATTTACCAGACAGGGTCCAAGGACTTGAGTGCACTTCAACACATTTCTGTCTCATTTGCATGATCCCTGGACCCTGTCTCTACATTTCTCCTCTTATCTTTTATCCAAATGTTGAGGTGGAAGCTAGTGGGGGGTGTGTGTGTGTGTGTTTCCCTGGCATGCACATCTGTGGCTGGCTGTTGAAGGTTCCCTTTTGCCCCATACACTCCTTTCTGCAGCACTCCTGTAGTTGTGGTACTCAGACCAGGCCACTGCTGAGATAATCACAAACACCTCATTTGTTTGCCCAAAAAGAGTCTGCATTGCTTCCCTTGCTTTTTAAAAAGAGAACTGACAGCCACAACACAATAATTCAGGATTATTCTCGTTAAGCATTCAGGAGCAGGTGCATCCCCTAAATAGCCTGCCATTTCAGGCAGTTATCTCTTTATATTTTCTTGAAGGAAATGGGCAAGGTTGTTGCAGATTGTCAAATGGAGATGGTCTGCAAACTTGGGCCATTTCTCTTCATCTGATTTTCGGGTCACCTCAAAGTGAATCTTATTTCTTCCTTCTACTTTTAAAAATTACTTATTTCACTGGCTTGCCTCAGACTTTCCATATCTGATAACACCCTTTTCAACTCATCAAGAACTCAAGAGTTTTGTGATCTGGACACGAGTGTAGGTTCTTCCCTGATGTTGAAAGACATAAAAGCATCTTTCTGTATCTCTCTTCCATGGGGCTTTCCTCCAGTGCAAGGACTTGTGTTTAATGATCTGATGCTTCCACGTGGGAGGTTATTTTGGGTTTGAGTGATGTGCTTAAGAGAACTAATAGTGCTTTTTTAAAAAAATTAAATTATTTTGGATATATGATATCTTCTTACTGCTTCATTAATAATGATATATTTGTAAAGTAATGTGGCCTGAGATAATATGTCTCATCTTTTATTTTCTCCAGTTCATAGGAATAAAAGGCCTACCTCTTTCCTACTGTGAATCCCACCTAGTTTTGAAATGCACTTTATCACACCTCTCCACATAAGGGATATTATTCTAGCTGACTCATAAAAATACCATTTATCTGCCTACAAATTATTTTTTTTTGCATGGGGAAATCTAATATAATGTGTATTCAGGGGCATTCACATTCTGAGCAAAAACAAGCAATAACAAATTATAATCAGGTATAATTACTGCCTACTTAGAAAAAAATGATAATTTTATTACATTATAGATATAGAACAGCACCTGCTTCTAACCATCCTGGGGGCTCAACCTGATATGCATTTTTGTGCTCTATTAAATGCTCTTGTTGTCCAGCTGCAGCTCAAGGATAAGGATCAGCATTTCCTCAGCTTTCTATTTGTTGGCAAAATCTTCTCTGCTTTTTGTTTATTGAAAGCATCTTCTTTTCCCCCTTCCTCCATTCCCTGCAGACCAGGAGTGCTGTGCACTGACTGAATATCTAAGTTAGAATATGAGCGCTACTTCTTTGTGGCACCAGCAGAATTACTTTTCACTGGGGAAGTGTCCTTTCTGTGATCTCATTTGATCCTTGGGAGCCTAGTCATCTTGGAATGGTGATCACTGTTTGAGTAGTTGCTAGACTTGAGTACTTTGTTGAGTAGTAGCTGGATCTGAGGTTACTGCTGGCCTTAGCGCCCTTCTTTCTAGGTCTAGTCTGAGAAATAAAAGGTAAATTTAAAAACAGTCATTCTAAAAAAACAAAAATCACAAAATTAGGCAGTAGAAATCTAGAGTGGTAAGCAGAGACCTCCATCCTCAGATGACTGACATATGATGTTACTATTTAGGTCACATTGAGGAGAATTATCCTATAGTAAATGAGCACACAATCATCAAACACATCCTAAGAAAAATGAAAAAAAAAAAACTGTCATAAATAAATATTACCTACAGTTGAGTAAGAATCAGATTGGTATCACTGATTTAAGAGGAGAAAATCACTTTGGACTGGAAATATTAAATTTATCTTAGTGATCATCCAAGTGTGATGGCAGAGATATTCTCAAACCACAGATTCAGTAAGCTTACTAACCTAAAACTTACTAAAATATCACAAAAGGTTTTAATATGCAGAAGACAAATAATCCCAGAAGGAATTATTTCCTTTCCACATTTTACCTAAATAAGGCATGTTGCTAAATCTAAATAAATAAGAACAATAAAAATATTTTGATAGCAAGGTAAAATCAACATTTCAGACTGTTGGGGGTCAGTGAAAAAATATGTTAAACTTTTTATTTATTCAGAAATAAAACACAGATTAACTTTAGAGCTTATTAGGGAAAATATACTTCTCTCTGTGTATTTTAAGGTAACAATAAAAATATTGGAAAAAGAATAGTTTTTCAATGTATGAGAGAAAACAATGGAAAAAAGAAAATTTGATCATTTCAACGAAAAGAAGGAAAGAGGGAAGATAGGAAACACAAAGTACAGTGGTAGATATAAAAGCAAGCATATCTGTAATCACGATAAGTGTGAATGGGCCAAACTCATTTATTATGGGACAGAGACTATTAAAATCTGCCTACTTCGTTTTCAGTTCTTAAGAGAATGATGTAATATTATCTTGCTGAAATGTTTCTTTTACTATACTATTACTATGTCTCAACAGGTATACCTATAATTTTAAAACAAAATGTAATGTTATAATGTAACTATATATGCACCCAGCATAGGAGCACTGCAATATATAAGGCAAATATTAATAGCCATAAAAGGAGAAATTGATAGTGATACACTGAAAGTAAGGGACTTTAACAGATGATCCAGACACAAAATCAATAAGGAAACACAAACCTTGCATGATACATTAGACCAGATGGACTTTATTTATAGAACATTCCATCTAAAAGCAGAATACACATTCTTTTCAAATGCACATGGAACATTCTCCAGGATTAATCACATGCTGGGCCACAAAGCAAGCCTTGGTAAATTTAAGAAAACTCAAATCATATCAAGCATCTTTTCTGACCACAATGCTGTGAGATTAGAAATCAACTAAAAGAAAAACACTATAAAAACACAAATATGTGGCAGCTAAACACTATGCTACTAAAGCAATGGATAACTGAAGAAATCAAACAAGAAATAAAAAAATACCTAGAGACAAATCACAATGAAAACATGACCATCTAAAACCTATGACATAGAGCAAAAAAGCAGTTTTAAGAGGAAAGTTTATAGCAATGCAATCTTACCTCAGAAAACAAGAAAAACCCCAAATAAACAACCTAACCTTTATGCCTGAAGCAACTAGAGAAAGAAGAATGAACAAAACTTAGAGTTAGTAGACAGAAAGAAACCATAAAGATCAGAGCTGAAATAAATGAAATAGAGAAAACAATAGAAAAATCAATGAAACTAAAAGCTGACTCTGAAAAGATAAACAAAATTGATAAACTTTTAGCCAGATTTATCATGAAAAAAAGGGAGAGGGCTCAATGAATTTAGAAATATAAAAGAAGTTACAATGAACACCACAGAAATACAAAAGGTCATAATAGACAGCTACAAGCAACTATATGCCAATAAAATGGACAACAAAGAAGAAATGGGTGAATTCTCAGAAAGATGCAACCTTACAAGACTGAACCAGGAAAAAATAGAAAATATGAACAGACCAATCATAAGCACTGAAATTGAAACTGTGATTTAAAAACTCCCAACAAACAAAGTCCAGGATCAAATGGCTTCACAGGTGAATTCTTTCAGATATTTTGTAAAGAGCTGACACCTATCCTTCTGAAACTCTTCCCAAAAATTGCAAAGGAAGGAACACTCCCAAACTCTATCCATGAGGCCACCATCACCCTAATACAAAAACCAGACAAGATCACACATAGAAAGAAAATTGTAGGGTTGACATAGACATACTACTACATTTAAAATAGATAGTGGACAAAGATCTGCTGTATAGCACAGGGAAGACTTCAATAGTCTGTAATAAAGTAAACAGGAAAATAATTTCAAAAAGAGTAAATAAGAGTGAAGTCACTCAAGCCATGTCTGACTCTTCATGACCCTCTGGATTGTAGCCTTCCAGACTCCCCATCCATGGGATTTTTCCAGGCAAGCCTACTGGAGTGGGTTGCCATTTCCTTCTCCAGGGGATCTTCTTGAGCCGGGGATTGAACCCATTTCTCCTGCATTGCAGGCAGACTCTTTATTGTCTGAGCCACCAGGGAATCCAGACATATGTATATGTATAACTGAATCACCTTACTATACACCTGAAACTAACACAACATTGTTAATCCACTGTAGTCCAATATAAAAATTTTTTTAAAGGAAACACATAAAAATAACAGAACTGCAAGGAGGAACTGTCATACCTAACCTATTCAGAGACTTGAATATAACTCTTCTTGAGAACTTATAGTTCAAGAAGACAAAAGGAAAATGGGCAATATTCATTAGCATTTTAATATATGTATTCTTGTACACGGGCATAGAATAGATAGTCTTTTCAAACACACATGACATTTGTCATGGATGATATATAGAAAACTAAAAAATACTGA